TGTTACTATGCGGAGGAGGGAAAGTGTGTGGCTTTCAGGGGGGGGGGGGGGCAGGTTTGCTGCCACAGCCAACACACAATTTAAAACACCCCCACTTTTCGGCCATAAAACAGCAAAAATGGCCCTGAAATGAAAAGAGGGCTCTCGTATGAGGCAAAGTAAATTTTATCTCAGAGAGGGGGGGGAGGCGAGAAGCCGCCTGAGGGGTGGAGGCCCTCAGAAAAAGTCTTTTTTTTTTTTTTGGTAAAGACCAAAATAAACGTAGTAAAAAGGAAAAAGAAGAACGATTTGGATAATCCCTCGTGAGAGGAAAATAACAGTTCTAAACCAACTGGCAAGCAGTTAACAGTGTGGCAGTCAGAAGAGAACTGGCGGGATGTCCGCACCCCACCTCCTTGGGCATGCGGAGTGGGCATGTGAGCTTTGCACACCACGATTCGGAACAGCGCAGGCGCATAACCCCATAGGTGTGATGCACAGAGACCACGAAGAAGATCAGATTATTACAAACATTCTAAAACACTAAATGTTCTAAATTCTAAAACACTAAACGTTTAAAACAATAGGCACAATGTAAAGAATGTTATGCCCTTTTCATTTCAATGGGAAAAATCTGAACACAGCATCTGAAATCAAAAGGACGTAACAGTGCAATCCTAAATGGGGGGAGAACTCAGGGAGCTGACTAGTTGTTATCCTGGTGTATCTTGAGATATACCAAGGTAAGTCAGAGTTATACTGGTACACTGCTCCAGTAACACCCTGCCACCCACAGCAGCAGCCACGCATCAGTAGTCCAGTAGCGTAGGCCCCTGTGCCACTGTGGAAGTGGTGGGCCAGGGGCATGGTGGATTGTAGTTGGCTCCCTAAACTATTTCAGCCTGTGAATGCCCCCCCACATCGGTTGCCAGCAAGGCAGGAGTGCCACAGAAACACACACCCCCTCCAAATGCCCCAGTCCATCTTTGTCTGGGACTGACCAGCAACAGTATATCTAAAGCAAACTCCATGGGAAACAAGAAGCAAGGTGGAGCTTTAAAGATGAAGTTGCCTGCTACTCTGGGAGGAGGAGAACTCAGGGGTGGCCCAGGGTTGTCCCAGGGCACCCCCAGCAGAATGGCTGGGCTGTGCTTCTGCTGGTGAGCAGCAGACACCCTGACCAATTCCGCAAAAGCAGTTGTCCTGCCCTTGGTCTCCCATTTCCCTCGGTTGTATTGCTCAATTTCCCACTATTTGTTGTGCGGCCACATTTTGACCAGCATCTCCCCCCGATTTCCCCCGCATCTTCTTGATCCTAAAAAATAAGGATCAAGAAGACACGGAGGAAATCGGGAGGAGATGTGGGTCAAAATGCGGCCACGCAGCAAATAGTGGGAAATTGAGCAGTACAACCAGGGAAAACAGGAGACCAAGGGCGAGACAACTGCTTTTGCAGAATCGGTCCCTGACTGGGCACACTCTCCTTCTAATCTCCCCATACCCTTTTCTTCATGATTGCTGTGTCTGGACTACATGGGCTCTAGACCTGCCGCCAGTGGGAGATTGCAGGGGCCCTTGACCACACTGTCAGCTGCCCTGTTATTGTTAGGCAGGGCACTACTTCTTTAAAGGTGTGGTGCTGCAGACACAGTCCCGCAGTCCATGGCCCTGCCCCTCAGCTTTAATGTGCACAGGCTTAGGTCCCTGGTCCTGCCAACCTGTGATTAGTTCAAGACCTGTATGAGACACTACGGCATGGTTGCTGGGGATGCTGACATGGTTGCAGCCTGTGCAACTCTACTTCTCAGTCTTTTTCCAGCCTCCCAGTCTCTGCCGGAAGCCTTTAGGGAGCAGACCAGCAGCTCCATGATTACATCAGCACCCAACTGCTCCAGCACAGACAGCCCTTAGGATTGCACTATTTAAGTCCTTAATTTTGGTTAGATGCACCCTTCCTAGAAGTATTAATGGAAATATACCAAGCAAGGCCATAAATTATTTCAGAAATATTATAAACCTCCAGGAGTTCAAACAAAAGTTCCTTATAAAGATATCATTTTATGGTAACAGTACCTTTTAAAACTGCATGTGCAGTTTTGCCTCCCTTTCGTAAGGTATCGCTGTCCACACAATAAGTTGCTTTCATCACTTTTTCAGGAATGCAATTTATTGTTGCAGACAGTGAAAGAATGAAATGCATTTTCGCCAATATTAAGTTATTCATGATTCGTGAATCACAGAGTGAAGTCCAGACTGAATGAAGAGGCCTGTTAAATACATCTTCAATCACCTTTAAAGTTAAAAGGAAATTATGTTAAAATACATAGACATATTTCTAGTAAAATGTCATTAATTTAATTTAAAGGAAGATACAAATAATACTATAGAAGAAAATTACTGTGTTTGGAAAAGATAAAATAGTATGTATCTTCTATTCCAGGTTATCAGCTGCAAGGACAGATAAAGCTGAACATACACAAATTCAGTTTGCTCCACAAATGAATTCATTTTACATACAACAGTTGACTTACCTCTAGATTCACAATCGCCAAGAGAGGTAATGATTCATCAAAGTTTGCACAGGCCTACAATTTAATAAAACATAATAATGAATATTACATAGCAAAAACATGTATTATTTCAAAAGAAGATAGGAAAAATTAAATAGTAATCCGGCATGTTCTAGCATGTGCTCCAATTCATGTTTTGCTGGGTCATCACAATTATATTTTGTTTTTGCTTCCGCTACTGATTCCTGGGGCAGCAGTTCCTTGGTTAATCATGGCCTCAGAAAGAGGGGGGAAATAATAAACATTATAGTAGGAGTCAACCACTAGAAAAGAATTGGGCAAGACCAATCTAAAAGGCAAACATCATAGAATTAATTCCCAGTCATATTAGGGTACAGAAGAAAGAAAACATTTTTACCTGCAATTTTGGAACAAACTTGTAGCCTGCAGGCAGTTTCCATGGGACTTTGTCTCCAAAGTTAACAGTACACAGTTCATGGAATGCATCAGAGAAAAATCCTAAATCTGTAAGCACCTTTATCTTTAAAAAAAGAAGAAATGTCAGCTTTACACACAATGGTAAAAATCATAAAAGCAAGGGGAAAAAGATAGGGAAGCAGGTCATCAAAGCAAGTAGTAAAAAAAGAACAAAACAGAGGACCACAAAGAATTGTATTGCCATTATATTAAAAAAAAAAAAACCCAGTACTGCATCTACAGAACAGCAAAACCAAGGCTCCAGATATAGTCTCATTTTGCATTAGATTCATAAAGAAACTTTCAGGCAAAAAAACTCCCTACAAGTAGTATAACAGGCTGGAAAACAGATGTTTCTCCATGAGAATCCATCATCTATTGTATTAACCTCAATCATATATGGAAATAGACTATGATGTTAGTACAAAAAGTAATGGTATACCATATATATTATTGTAAATATTACAGATGGTGGATTTCTACATTTCAGTATACCTCCAGGACCATGTATATCAGCAGTTAGAAAACTAGATCCCACTTCGTGCTGTGCAAACTTTTATATAACCTGAATAAAAATAAGATTTTTTTCTTTAAAACAAAGTTTACTAGAATAGCAAAATGCTGAAGCATGCCTTAACTTTAAAACATTTTAAATTATAATTTTTCCCATTAATAGATTCACGAAATATACTGAACACAGAGGTTAGTTAGGTAGTGGTGGAAAGTGCCATCAAGTCACAAATGACTTGTAACAATCCCTTCATGTCTTTTTCAAAGCAAGAGACACTGAGAGGTGGTTTGTCATTGCCTGCCTCTGCTTACAGACCCAACTTCCTTGGTGGTCTCCCATTCAAGTATTAGTCAGGGGCGACCCTGCTTAGTTTCTGAATTCTGACAAGATCGGCCTAGCCTGGGCCATCCAGGTCAGAACAGAAATTAGTTTAGTAACCAATAAAATTAAATGATTAGTGGAAAATCTAAGGTGCTGTTCAAAGGCTGTATTACCTTAAGAATCCTTCCTTCAATACATTTAATTGCGTTCCGACAAACTTCAGAAACAAAGTATTGATACAGTGAAAAGAGTGGCAAAATCTGCAGAGGAATCAGAGAGTTCTGTAAACATTTGCTTTCTAACTTCTAGATCTATTAGTTGCATCTTTTCCTTTAATGGCATACAAAGAGCACAAACATTTATTAAAATCAAGGATTAGAAACTACAAGAAAAGAAGCTGCAATTGATCAGGGAACCTCTATACATTAAAAAGGCAGCCCCCCCCCCAGTATTTTAAAAGTGGGATTAGGATTGGCGCTCCCTTAACAGCCAGTTTAAAATCTGAAGGAGATTAAGGGAGGAATTAGAATCAGAGGAAGAGCAGTTCTACAATTTCCATTCCCCAGTGGGCTGCCCTTCCCTTCACCCTAAAGGCCAACGGGCAGCAAGGAGTTGCGCTTCCACTGTGCCCTTACACTGCTAGAATAGCATGGCAGTGCATAGCATTCATAGGCTTGTCCTGCTCTCTTGTCTAGCTGAAATGAAAAGGTGTTTTCCTGGAGCAGGATATTCTGCATCGTGCTATGCATGTTTTCACTGACTCATCAGAATTTCCAGCTAGGAGTAAACAAACGGTCACACTATGCTAGATGATTCATCCTAGAAAGTGTTTAAAGTGGTACTCTACTGACATAGAAAGCAGGTGACATCAGGAATGCAACAGTGAACACTGTCCTGGACCCTTCCATCGAGCATCTATTTCATCCTTATTATTCCAGCATCTTTGGAAGCCAGTGATTTAGCACAGTTCCTTCTAATTCTGAAACCATGCACATAAATTAACAGCATGTTCCAGTTTATCTCTTTTTTCCAAAGGAGGGTAGCATGTGACTTGGCTCACTGACTTAAGCCATCTGGATACCTCACTGACAAGACCCACTAAGCACCATGCACCTTCTTATATTTATAACTATTTTCTATGTAAAACTTTATAACCGATTTACACACAGTACTTACTATTAGATTCTGCTTACAGCAATGCAGTTCAAACATAATGAAACTCAGACTTCCAACAACTGATGCAACATCAGCTCTGTAGTTATCCACAAACAAATCAATGCCAGGAATTAATTCCTCTATCTCATACTGTGTGAAGTCACAATCAGCTATAGGATGTGGTAATGAAGCTCTAAAAAGGGACTGAAAAGTACAGAACATTAATCTTCAAATGCTATCTACATAACAAAATCTACATAATATTTAAACACATTTCATGTTTTTCATATGCATGTTAAATTAATCTAGAAAATGTCAGAACCTAGAATAAACGGAATCATGACACTGCATAAGTATATGAATCTGCCCTGCTTCTAAGTTATGGGTTTTAATTTTTACTGGATGGATAGGACATCAGACAATGGAAATATATGGGAATTACAACCTTGTCAACAAACTTTAAAGCACAATTATAAACTAAAAACTTACAAGAAACATTCCTTTGGGGCTCTATATAAGGGGGAGAGGTCTCAGATACACAAGTCTAGTCCAACCAAAGCACTTGCTATCAGATAGGTGGACTGTCTTCTGAATAGCCAGAAGAAAATGAATTGACAGGATTTAGCCTTGGATGTCTTGGATTTAAGCGTTCACTGCCTACCGATGTTTAGCCTCTCTGTCAAGTTTTATAATATTCAAGCCAGATTTTGACTTTAATGTGAAACTGAAAGATATCCAAAACCCTGAAGCACAGCGAGAAAGTTATTAATTATAAAATGAAACCTATTTAGCACCCATCTTTTGTGGTGGCAGATTACTACTGGGTTTGGTGTTTTGTTGTTGCTGATGTTTTTGTTTTGTTTTTCAAAGGAATCACCTGAGAGTGCAAGGTAAGGAAATTAATACACTTCTTTTGCTGGAGTCAGGAACTATTGGGGTCTGGTTTGGGGAAGAGAAATAGTAGGCATGGAAAGGTTAAGTAGTCTGTGGAGAGGTCTGACCACATCACAGGAGTTAATTTCCAAGAGTTCAGTCCTATGCAGCACCAGTGGAAGATGAGTTGCCAGAGTTTAAATATGCAAGAAAGGGGAGCACTGACTGTTTAGAGCAGGGATATTGAACTCATTTGTAACAAGGGCCAGATCTGACATAAAGGTCACTTCGTTGGGCCGAGCCATGTGTGCCATAAAATGAATGCCAGGCACCAGAGATATAACTGTATAAAGGACAGCAGCTGGTAAACTCCAAGTTGTTCTCTCCTCACTGCAAGGCCCCATGGGCTGGGAGGAGGGTGCAAAGGAAAACCCATATGGGTGGACTGGAAAGCCAGTGGTGCAGCACTGGGCAGATGCTCCCACACTGCTTGACAGTTGCAGATGAGGTTTTTCTGCCATGCTGAACCCACAATTGGAGTAGCTCTGCCCACTTCCCCCTGAGCAGTCTCCTGTTCCCTCCCTTGCACTAGTTGCTCACAGACTGCATAAGAGCCCTGGATGGGCTGGTTCCAGCCCCCGGGCCATATGTTTGACACCCCTGGTTTAGAGGGAAAGAAGAGTAGGTTTATTAAAGAACAAACCATTATAGAACATAAAAGAGAGAGAACCTTAGCTGTCTAAACTAACTGCTGAAGGAGGAACAACAACAGGAAGCTCTGCAGGAGCAGGAAGTCTCCAGAAGACCAATCAGGAGACAGCAAGGACATAATTTGAAATTGTGGGCAGTCCCTAATCAAGCTATGCTAACTATCATTCCTTTAGCTGTCCCCCTGAGGGCCCTTTGCCCTGGCCTTACCATCAATAGCTGTGCCTACTGCAGAAAGAAATAAATTAAATAAGTTGTGCATCTACCTAGATCACCTGAACTGACCATCATGTTACCGCCATCTCAAGGCTATAATTGAAATCTACTGTTCTAGCACTTATGACAGTAGTAGCACTTTATGATAGTTGAACTGTTTTATGACTGTGTTAAGATTGTTTTATAACTGTTACTTATACGTTGAATTTTTTATGTAAGCCGCCCTGAGCCTGCTTGTCGGGGAGGGCGGGGTATAAATTGAATAAATAAAATAAAATAAAAAATAAGGCTACACTATAGACCTTGCATATTGCAACAAGATGTTGGTGAAGTGAGGGGCTTTTTTTTTTCATCTTCACCTTCCCACCGCAATTCCCCCAGGGGTCTTTTTGTAGAAAAAGAGCTGCAGGAGCTCATTAGCATATGGTATGTTAATGAGCTACTAGGCTATTAGCATATGCCATGCCCCCTGACAGCACCAGAAGTGTTGTCAGAAGGGGAAGCAAAAGGAGGGGGCATCTTCAAAAGCCTCCCCTTCCCTTCCCCGGCTGGCCTGTGGGGGTAGGCTTACCAAACGCCGGCGGGGGAAATCTATTTCCTGGCAGGATGCGTGCCGCGGGGGACGGCTGTGCGCGCTGCACCCGCCGTCGCCAGGATGTGACGCTCCGCGTTACTCTGGCAACGGGGCTGTTTGGGTCCCGTTGCCAGGGTAACGCGGAGCGTCACATCCTGGCGACGGCGGGTGCAGCGCGCACAGCCGTCCCCCGCGGCACGCATCCTGCCAGGAAATAGATTTCCCCCGCCGGCGTTTGGTAAGCCTAGGCTGGAGGAATGATGGTGGGATCCACCCATTGTTTGGAGAACATTCTGCACTATACAGGCCTTCAAAGTCAAAGCAGGCAGCTCAGCCTCTCACAACTGGTGATCATAGGCAGTACCCATTAGGTAAGTAGCCCCAAATATGTATAAGGGTAAAAGGTAAAGGTAAAGGTTCCCTTGCTCGAAAGCCAGTCGAATCCGACTCTAGGGTTGCGGTGCTCATCTCCGTTTCAAAGCCGAAGAGCCAGCGCTGTCTGAAGACATTTCCGTGGTCAAGTGGCCAGCATGACTAAACACCAAGGCGCACGGAACACTGTTACCTTCCCACTGAAGTGGTACCTATTTATCTACTTGCAATTTCTGCCCGGGGGAGGGGCTCTCGTGCCTCCCCCGAGCCGCAGCACTTCTGCGCGGACCCGAGGGACCCAGCGGTGGGGCTCTCCGGGCCTCCCCCGGCCACAGCGCTTTCGGCGCAGGGAGCTGGGGGTGGGGTTTGCCGCCACACGGGCTGCCAGAGCAATGCTCCAGTGTGCTCCGGCCCCAAAATACCCCTGCTGGTGACCACCAAAAAGGTGATACTGAGGGAGGAGGGTCTGTATGGACTGAAAGCCACACAAAACAAGGGACTGTCATAGGAAGAATAAAGATTAAAATCACCCCTTGTTGCATTAACATCGTTATATCAGCAGAACCTTTACTGTATGCTTCTTGCTCCAATGGAAAGGATGCAAAGGATTCAGTCCTTAGTTTTTTGGACTCCCTGCTACAAATACATGAAACCATGGACCTGGATTCAATGAGGGCAATGTCCATGCAGAAGCAGAGTTCATGCACAGATATCTTTCTGGAACAGACATTATGAATGTAAAAGGAAAAGAAATGTCAATCAGATGTTCCATATTGTCAGCTTAGAAAGGGCAGATTACCTGTTTCTGAGGATGGAGACTGATTCCAGTTTCCTTTTTTCTCTAACTGATGACTAGCACTGTTAACACTGGCAGTAGTACCTGTTCCTGCTCAGGGGAATATTTGAATCAAAGCTATGACATTTGCAGCCAGAGCTCTAGCAAACAGCAAACAGCTGTTTAGCTTTATGTATTCTTGGACAGCAAAGTGCTTCACTGCTATTTCATAACAAATAATTTTTAAACAATAATCATGAACATTTCTAAAGCCTATTCATATGACTCTTTGTTAAATTGTTCTCTTGCAGTACAATCTTTCCTTTGAATAACAATTTATATACCGCTGCAGGTAAAAATACTGAAAATAACTTTTCCAATTACCAGATAAGATCTAAAATTAAAGCATATTAATTACCTTGAACAGAACAGCAGATAAAATACAGGTCTTGGTTCTTAATTTTACATCCTCTAATAAGATGTGCCTAAGTGTAGAACAGGAGGAAAAGTTTTAAAATGGCTGTTTTAACCTAACCAGTGCTTCATAGTCTTTTACCATGAAAATGAAGATGATTCCTGTTCCGTTCTAACAAGATAATCACATCATAACAATCTGTTAATACACATTTCTCCACACACATTGTGGCACTGGAATACTATTCCCACATGAACCCTGCCTTAAATTAAGGTGTAACAGCAACCTCTTCGGTTCCACTCACATTCACACATTCCACTCACATTCACACATTCCTTGAAAAGGAAGGGTAAGTGACAGAAGAAATCAGATTTATGGCTCTTGGGCAACTATTGTGTCTAGATCAATAGGAAACATTAGCAGATGTGTTTGTGGTTGCCAAGATGTTTTGCACAGGATTGCCCTTGCATAGGATTTCCCCTTTGCTTTCTTTCCAGTTTAATCCGTACTAGTTCAGACAGCATGAACACAGCTGTAAAAGGAATCAGCTGTCACCACAGGCACACCTTTTACACCCCTTTACTTCTCCACCCAGTGCTTTTTCTCAAGCAGTAAATCACAGTTTAGGCCTAAACAGAGTTACACCCTTCTGAATGTATTGAATTCAATGGGCTTAGAAGGGTGTAAAAAAGGTAAAGGTTCCCTTGCTCGAAAGCCAGTCGAATCCGACTCTAGGGTTGCGGTGCTCATCTCCGTTTCAAAGCCGAAGAGCCAGCACTGTCCGAAGACGTTTCCGTGGTCATGTGGCCGGCATGACTAAATGCCAAGGCGCACGGAACGCTGTTACCTTCCCACTGGAGTGGTCCCTATTTATCTACTTGCAATTTCTTGCTTTCGAACTGCTAGGTTGGCAGGAGCTGGAACTAGAGACGGGAGCTCACTCCGTCATGCGGCACACTTGGGTTTCGAACTGCTGAACTACCGACCTTCCACAGCCTACAGTTCAGCATCTTAATCACTTGAGCCACCGCAGCTCCCTAGAAGGGTGTAACTCTGCTTAAAACTGCACTGTCAATGTATTACTCGTAGTCATGATTTTAATTTTTGCTATAGCACTACCACAAGTGCTTATAGTTATGATAATGAACTCAGAATTTAAGTAAAAAACAAGTATTTGGAAGAAAGTGTGATACTTCAACTTCTGTTGTATAAATGTCAAATGGTAAACTGACATGCTGATCTAGAAGTGGCAATCTTCATATTGGAAAAAGATTCCACACATGGGAATCTCATGAACGTGCAAGAAGCTACCACAAACTGAGTCAGACCAGTGGTCTATCAAGGTCAGTGTTGTCTACTCTGACCAGAATCAGTTCTCAAGGATCTCAGCCAGAGGTGCTTCACATCATCGTTTTCTAATCCTTTTAAGCACAGATGCCAAGGATCGAATCTGGGATGTTCGGTACACAAAAAGAATATGATTGTACAATCTTGTGTTTCTTGGCTGGCCTCTTAAAATACTTTTTAATGAAACATTCCATCCTTCACTAAAGATGGGATCACTGGCTGAGAAAATTGAATTATAAATTAATAAAATACTCACTGAGCAATTTTAGCTGCTAACACACCTCCTTGTATGCACCCCCAAATTCCAGCCCGAGCAATGAATTTCTCACAGTAAACTTGAGATCTATTTGCCAAGTTGCCAGTGTCATTCTCTGACAAGCCAGCTAGCTCATGCCAGTGATGAAGTGCATTGACTATGTTGAGGGCTCCATCAAGGCCTTGACACCAGCATTTGAAAGCAGCTCTGTAATGCATTAAAATGTCCGTTATATTGGTGCCATTTTAGAAAATGAAAAATAAAGGCAGTTTTATTTTGCATTGAATCCTCAAGTGCAAGATGTAACGCCCACCTCCGCAGAAAATGTCACTAAACTGTAGACTTACACACAGGAGGCAGAGACACAGACCTAAAACAAGACTATGTGGGATAGTTAAACACCCAGTCCTGCTGGTCTCTCAATGAACTGGTTAAGGTGAAAAGAATGAAAGTGGTTGTACATTTTTAGTCTCTTTGGAAGCAGTTATGCAGCTTGCACAGGGGCTGGGGTCCTTCTAGGAGCCAGGATGTAACTGAGGACCTGGAGAAAAAGAGACTAGGCGTATGCATTCGGTCTATACTTAGCCCCCCCCCAAAAAAAAAAAATCTGAAAAACACCTTATCACTATTTTCTGGATACATTTTCAGCTGAATATAGAGCCCAGTATTTATTCAGCTATCAAAAAATGGCCAACTCAGCTGCCAGACAGCTGAAGGGAAAGGGTATTTAAAGGGATTGCAGTCCCTTTAAATGCCTTCCGGCTGAATTTGTCACTTTGAATTCACTCACAGCTTGCAAGAGGCATTTAAAGGGACTGCAATCCTGTTAAATACCTCTTTTTCCCTCCAATGGAAACAATGGAGGACGGGGGCAGCTCTGCTGGGCACTCTGGTTTAAACCGGGGTTCCCAGCAGAGCTTGCAGGTTGAACTCTCCCCGCAGGATCAGCTTCTGGGCAGGCTCTGTTGGGCAGCCCAGTTTAAACTGGGCTAACCAGCAGATCCTGCGGGAAGAACCCTTAGCTGGGGCTGGCTCCTCTTTGCAGCTCAAGCAGCAAAGAGCAGCCAGCCCAGGATAACAGGGGGTGTCAGAAGCTGACGGCTCCACACCAACTCAGCTGGAGCTAGCTCCTCTTCGCAGCTCGATCTAAACCAAGCTGCAAAGAAGATCCAGCCCAGGACCGGAGGGGGTGGTGCGGGACTCTCAGCTCCTGCTGCCCCAGCTGATTCACTCTCTCTTTCTTCTTCTTGAGTCCATTGGACCCAAAAAAATTTAGGAATCCTGAATATTTCCCAAATCTCAATACCATACCAGTATTGAGATTTGGGAATATCTGAAAATACTGATATTTTTTGGATCAGTAGAAAAAAACAAAAGTCCAGTAGCACCTTAAAGACAAACAAAATATGTGGCAGGGTATGAGCTTTCATGAGTCACTGCTCACTTCTTCAATATACCCGAACCCAAAAAATACCCGGGGAGGGGGGGGTTGCACACCCCAAGACTGCAACACTCTCAGCTCCCAAACTAGCTATCAGGGCTTTGAATGAAAATTACAGTAACCTTTACCAAACTCCACTGACACCTGTAGAAACAAACAACATAAAAATTCAGGAGAGAAGATCAAGATATAGAAGCCTACCCACCCCCATTCAGAGTACAGTGAACTGAAGCAGTGTCACTTAGTTTAGGGAAATGAGGTTCTTTATCTCATGCAATGAGATTCTTAATCTCAAATGTCCTCTCCAGTGACCATTTCAGGCTCCAACTACATGTTACACAGAACACATCAGGGTGGGGGAAGAACAGATATGTAAAGATGTTTCACCCTTTCTGTTCTGCCTGCTTTTGCAAATGCTGGGTAACCTTGCCCCCAGATATTGAAAAAGCAGCTTGTGGAAAGTGATTTTTACCTGGAAAATTACCAAACAGGAAAGGAGAAATGTTTCTTTTTCTCCATCCACCCTTCTTTTGTCCCAATTCTCAGCCTGCTAAAGCTGGTTCTGGCTTTTTAAAGAAATAAGGGTGATTATACATTCACAAAAATTTAAGAACACCATCATTTTGTACCTGCTGCACTACATACAGAATATACCTTTTGTTTCCCGTACAAAAATGAAGATTTCCAAGTTCATGAAGTGCCTGCACTCTGAGGTCTTGCTGGTCATTTGTTTGAAGAGCTTCTGTTTTTCACCAATTTGAAGAAAAAATATAAAAAATATGAATATATTCAGAATTGAATGAGTGTATATGAAAAACAGGGGGAATTCAGGAAATAGTAAAGCAATATCTTAAATATTGTTGCACATGTTAGTATTTTGGATTTTATGTAAACAGAACCATATCTGGTCCACTGCTTCCTATTATTGTAAGACTGTATGAAGATTACAGTTTAGGCTAGAAGTGTATTTTGGTACAGAGGATGGCCCAGGCTAGCCTGATCTCATCATATCTCAGAAGCTAAGCAAGGTCAGCCCTGGTTATTATTTGGATGGGAGACCACCAAGGAAGTTCAGGGTTGCTATGCAGAAGCAGGCAATGACAAACCTTGAAAACCATATGGCTGATTTATAACCATTAAATCAGCTGTGTCTTAATGGCAAAAAAGAAGGGGGGTGGGATAAAGGGCTGTCATATGCATACAACATCTTTAAAATCCATTTGTTGTTGTTCAGTCGCACAGTCGAGTCCGACTCTTCGCGACCCCATGGACCAGATCACGCCAGGCCTTCCTGACTTCCGCCCGTCCTCTGAAATCCTCTAAAATCCATAGACCTATTAATTTAGTCAATGGACTAATTTGAGAAAGAGGATTGTGAGAAACAAAAGAATATTATTGTGTTGAAATAGATTAGCTGAACTTTTAGTAGATCTGGAATTATGTTTCTTTGATACAGAAACCATAATCTTTAGTACAGAATTAAAATATGTGAGTAGAATGCATACCCACTAAATAGACTGTCCTACCAAGGGGAAGACTGAAATAGGACTCCACAAAGAGAGGTTTGGTGTCAAATACTTGCATGTATGCATCCATGTAAGAAACAAAAAAGAATTTTAATCTTACCAAGTGTGTACTCGTACGAAGAGACGACTACTGACAGTTTTGACCATGGAATTGGCTTGCTTTGAACCATACTGAGAAAAGTAAAATTTTCTTTAGAAAGGTCAGGTGGTTCCGGTTGATAGAACATCTCTTCCCCCATAATAAATGCAACTTTCCCAGGTGAACTTATCCGGCTTTTTGATGTTGTGTTTAATCTTCCAAAATGCTCTAGATCAGAAAAATAATTCATTTACTGAAAATACTCTAGCCAAGAAAGTTTGAATCTTCACAGTAAGGTGGAAAAAGTTTGCAGGAAAAAGTTTAATTCTGAGAGTGCTACTATATAGTTCAGAAAAGTTCACTAGACCTTCCAGCCAGCCTGAAAGGTAATTAGAATTCTGCATTAGCATTCACAAGGAAAGGGGCTCACGATCAACAAATCCCTTCCTTAGCCCCTCCCATTTGTATGCAAATCCCCCAACTTCCTTTTGAGAAGCCAGGGCCCAGACTCACCCAGGGTCCTGTTTGCAGTGCTGTGGGGAGGGGGGACTGAGGGCAGCCATGGCAGGCCAGCAGCAAGCATTGGAAGCTTGGGACTGCCCAACCCAACGCCAGTCCTATCAGTGGATTTTGGGGGTAGGGCACTCTGGATGCTACTAAAGGCGCCGTGCCACCCCCACTCACCATCTTTTCAGCATCAGGCAACTTGGCCCAACCTCCTGGCCCTTTAGTTAGCTGTAGGTTGAAAGGGTTTGCACACGGTTTTGTTTCATTTAATTTTGACACAACTTGGCAGTATAAGAACATAAGAGAAGCCAATGTTGGATCAGGCCAATGGACCATCCAGTCCAACACTCTGTCACACAGTGGCCAAAAATACCAGATGGCATCAGGAGGTCCATCAATGGGGCCAGGACACTAGAAGCTTTCCCATTGTTGCCTCCCCCAAACACCAAGAATACAGAGCATCATTTGTCCCAGAGTTCCTATCTATACCTTGTGGCTAATAGCCACTGATGGATCTCAGAATGAATTCTTTTAAACTATATTTATACTATATTTTAAGAATAATTTAAACATTATAAGAGAAAACAATCAAGTCAAATTTCATTACAAAAAAAGTCCTCTATGGAAATGTCCTCCAATCCTCCAGAGGTATCAGCATAGGGCCAGATCCATTATCAGGAAAGCCAGCCTGCGTGCCCATTTTCCTGAGCAAGGGATCTTGGCGTGAGGGTCAAGTGGTATGCCCAGCCCTGAGGCATGGCCAGGGATTACCCTCATGCTCAGGTGGCAGAGGAGACCATCTCGGGGTGTCCACCCTTGTGGGATCCAGTCATCCCAAGGTTTCCAGTGGATCACTGACTGGCAGGCAGGTCAGTCAATGAACTGGATCCAGTATTCCATGCTGAGCCAAAGCATACTACAACTGTAACCAATAAAGTTGTGGCCAATTTTATTTCACATTTCTCTGAAAACTTTGTGTGCATGTGTATTATTTCAATTGATGTGTAAATGGGGTTAGTATTTAGTCGGGTATAGAAGGGCTCTTTGCCTTTGGCCCACACCTCACCCCTCCCCTTGGCACTGGGGCCACAAGCAGTACATCTACCCAGGGTGTTCTGAACCTACCTTTTGAAATCCCCAAACCAACATCCTTGTTTTCCTAGTTTTCAAAGTCAGAAGCCTACATATTTTGCAATAACATTAAGTAAATTTAATGTTGGCCAGACATAACATCAAACCAAAGTAAATGGAGGGGGGGGGAGTTCACACCCAAGAAAGAGGATACTGGAGGGAAAATATATAGTCCTCCAACCTGATCCCAATTTCTAAAGCCTGTTTAAGGGCCAGCAATATATTATGTCTGCATTAGATCTTACAGATTTGGTGCTCATGAGTATTCTGAAATTATCTCTACTGATGCGTCTCCCCACTCATTTAATTTTCCTTGTTTCCTTATTGTAAATATATTCAGAAATTTGAATTTCAAACCTTTGCCTAACAATGCTGTAAATATTTGGCCCTTAAAATTAACATAAATGATATGAGCTGAATAAATACCAAACTTTTGATGATCCTTTACATCAAATGAGTACCTAGATTAATCATTATATTTTACTAGTTACCAGTGTGGTGTAGTGGTTAGAGAATCAGACTAGGATCTGAGAGACCTGGATTCAAATCTCCACAGGTGATGGAAGTTCATGGGGTGGAAGTTAACTGAGTAACCTGGACTCAGTCACTCACTCTCTCTCAAGTCTAACCTATGTCACAGGGTTGTTGTTGTGGGGATGAAATGGAGGAGGGACAACGATGTTGTAAGCCACTTCAGGTCCACACTGGGAAATAAAAAGGGGTATAAATATCTAAACAAATAAAAGAAATCTGCCAGTGTTTAAATTCTCAAAGTAGATTCATAATGGTACATACACCTGATTGTTAACTAAGAAACATAAACAGTTTACCTTGTGTATCAGCAAGAAATAATGAAAGCAATTTCCTGCTATATTTAAGGGCTCTGCTATGGTGTTTTGATTTTTCTAGACTCTCTCGGAAACATTTTAGTGAATCTGTCACATCCACAGGAACAGAAACAAGTGATCTTGCTTGATTTTCATCTAAAATGATGTAATAAAGAGATTTAAAACTAGCTACACATAATTAATATTAGTGTAAAAATAACGGAATTACTTAACTGTAAAATTAAAATATTCAGTATTTCAATGTTTTAGATTTGTATCTGACAACACAGAGAATTGGTAATAGTCAACCATAAATTCCTGTTTTGTACGTGCTTTGTACAGTTGTTAACAAAATGACTTGCATAACTTGTATAAGCAAAGCTCTTATGCTCTACATCCACTGAATTTACACAAAGAATTTAAGTATTCACAAATCTACTCTGGAAAATTTAAAATTACTTCATATTTATAATTATAAATATATGCCATCTAAAGTTACTGACTCAGTTCTAGAGACAGCAAATGTGGGGACACCCTAACACAAGATTTTCAAATAAATAAAGTACTGTGAAATCAATTATGTGCTTCACTAATCACAAACAGAAAGTTTTAATAATATTATCACAACCTCATTTAAAATGCTGGAGCATCTGTAGTTAGTATAGCCAGTATGTGGTTGGCACATGATATCTTACTATACACACAGGTTTTAGTAGTTTAAAAGGACATGAAAAGCAAACCTGTTGGGGACAAACAGGGCTTATATCAGTACACGCTCTGACCTGTGCTGTGGAAATGGTGGTCAAGAGATCTTGCATTACGTTTTCCAGCAACATGCAGCTTGGTCGAAATGAAATGTCTGCAGGGTACCTAAGAGAATATTTCTCATGCAGTCAAATCTATTCATATTTTTAAGCTTGGCTATCTAACCCTAGGCTCTTAAGTCAATATTTAGATACATAAAATTCAACTCTGAAAATACTGCAAAGTCCTGGCTATGACTACAAAATACTTTAGATGTGAAAATATAAAACCAAAGTTCATCATCAGGTAGAGTCGCCAGCCTCCAGGTGGGGCCTGGAGATCACCCACTTTTACAACTGATCTCCAGCTGACAGAGATCAGCTCCCTTGGAGAAAATAGCTGCTTTGAAGGGTGGACTCTGTAGCAATCTACCATGCTGAGGCCCCTCCTCTCCTCAAAACCCACCCTCTCCTGGATCCACCCCCGAAGTCTCCATGTATTTTCAAAACCTTTCCACAATTTTCCAAATTTTCCACAAATTTATGAATTCACATTAACAGACATATATGAGTGAAACCAGTTGACATTGAGAGCATTGTGACAACACAGTTCCAGTAGAAACATATAGAACATTTTCTCAATGTGTTGCATGTATTTAATTTTATTTCTCACCTTGTTTACAGTATCATTGACAAAAATAATTGACTTGGAATCAAGTTGTGGGCTTTTAGAGTCACTAAGAAGTTGCATTCTTTCCTGCAGTTGTCTCTGGGCAAACACCAGCAAAGGAGTCACCACCTCAGTATATCTCTCACTACAAAGGGCCAGAGAAATATTACATTAACATTTTTTCCAAATAAACCATCCCTTCAATTTCTGATAGGCCACATATGTTACTTACTGTGTGAGAGTGTTAAACTGCAGGGCTAAGTATGCTAGGGATTCCCACTTCTTCAAATGAAACAGAATTTCTAAAGTTCGCAGGATCAAATCATATATTCCTTTCAAGTCAACAATATTCACATCGTCAAATGGATTTTCAAAAGAAAGATTAAAACCACCTTCGTCATTAGCAATGCCTCCTATGCAACTTGGAACACAGAAATCTCCTTCAACTTCAATAATCTGTACAAGAGAAAAGACAGCATTATGCAGCAGAGATTACCAGCAGTGTTGGGGGGATGACGCAGTCTCCATTTCAGATGTTAAGAGTATCAGACTAGGATTTCTGAGACTCTGGAAGCCTGCTGGGTGACCTTGGGACACTCTCAACCTAACCAATCTCAAAGGATTGTTGTAAAGATAAAATAGAGAAGAGAATATTGAAAGCAACTTTGGATCACCACTGGGGAGAAAAGTGGGGTATACATGAGAACTATTATACTGCCAGGTATGGTAGACTTTCTATGTAACAACACATCTAATTTGGGAGAATATGTATGGGAGTTTTATCCTCACACCTTCATTAATTGGTACAGAAATCTTTCAAGGTTTAACAGTAATGTTGTGTTTATCAATCATTAATTTTAGTTAAAAAAACTCCTACATGTTATAGCATGTTAGAAAATGGAAATGGAATCTATGGTAAATATTATGAATAAATTTAGAGTCCAGTGAGCACCTTTAAGTCCAACAAAGGTTTATTCAAAGTGAAAAACTAAATAAAAAGTTAAGCTTATAAGGAATTTAGTTTCTCGCTTTGCATAACTTAAACATCATCGTGTTACATGTTAATTTGCTGTTAAATCCCTGTCTATAAGTTTAGAACCTCACGTGCCATTCCAATGTAATTTTAAAAGATTGCCTTGCACACGAAAGCTCATACCTCTTTAGTAAAATAGATATATTATATATACTGAGTATCAAAAAGGAATAATAAAGCCACAGTATTGTGAGTAGTTCTTCAAAGGTAATAAGAGCAAGAAAACAGAAGGAATCTATACTGATGACTGTTATTCAGCTGGTTTTAAACTGAAAAATGATGTAATAATAGAAGGACCACATTAATTAAAATACATTTACCTTAACAGAATTATTGGACTGGAGATCAACTATCATATCAAGCAGTGAATCTGATGCCAGGTAGTATGGTAGCCAGATGGTGTTAAGGAAAAGATCCCAAGTAATAGGAAACGGTCCGTGTAAAGACTGTAAATTTTTAGTGATCAACCGTACTTCCTGAGTATAGTTCCAAAGGCTTCGGCAAGCATTCTGTAGCAATGTCCAGTGGCCACCACGATGAGCAATAACCTGATGCATAATTGAAAATATTAGTTTGAAGAATAGTAATCAGAGATGTCTACTGAATAGCAAGATTCAAATCTAGTAGCGCCTCAATTAGGGCTGCCAAATCCCCCCGGGGGGCGGATTTCCCCCCGCTTTGTAGGCCCGATTTCCGCCCCCGCGGAATCGGGCCCCGGGGAAAACCCCACCCCCGCGTGCACGTCACAGGGAAGTGATGTCATGACGCCGGACACGCTGGGGGCGGGGCCATTTGAGTGGAAAACTCTGTTTTCCCCTCAAATGGCTGTGGCCCCGCCCCCAGCGTGCCCGGCGTCATGACGTCACTTCCCTGTGATGTGCATGCAGCGCGCGCACACTCCGGGAGCCACCCCAGGGTCCCCCGCTGGCGAGGTAAGTCCGATTTGGCAACCCTAGCCTCAACAGAACAACATATCTGATGAAGGGAGCTTTTACTCTCAAAAGCTTATACCCTGGAAATCTTCACTTGGGTAGCCATGTTTGTCTGAAGCAACAGAACAAGGTTTGAGTCCAGTGGCACCTTTAAGACCAACAAAGTTTAATTCTGGGTATAAGCTTCTGAGTGCCTGCACGCTTCTTCAGATACCAACCATTATGTATACGTAGAGGGGGTTGGGGGGTTTAATTGCCAGAAAGGGCTAATTGGAATCAAGATGCATAAGTAACTGAGCGATAAGTATAGCTAAGATTGGATTAAAGCAATTGATAATGTGGGAATATGCAAGGTCTATAGTGCAGCCTGACAGACTTGTAGTTAGCATAGCTAGACTAGGGACTTCCCACTTTTTCAGACTGTGTCCTTACTGTCTCCTGATTGGCTTTTCTGGAGACTTCCTGCTCCTGTAGAGCTTCCAATTGCCCTTTGTTCCTATCATAGCAGTTAGGCTAGACAGTTAAGGCAGTTAAGGCTTTCTCTCTTCTATGATCTATAATAGTTTGTTCTTCTTTAATAAACCTACTTATTTTTCTCTACACAGTCAGTGCTCCACTTCCTTGCATATTTAAACTCTGCCAACAGGTAGAACCTGTGTATAGCAGCAAATTAGCATACACATAATAAAAGTTCATTAAAAAATGTAAAAAACCTAACATTGTGTGGGCTCTGGCAATGCTCAACAGAACAACATGCATTTAGGAGGTCAGACACATATATAACCAAGTAGCACTTTGGGTTTTGTGCACTGTGCTCAGTGAGGGGGACAGCCAAAAAGACAATAAAATGTAAGATAATACGGTAGTTATTTAATTTATTTAATAAAGCACCAGGCAACAAAACTATACAGTAATGAAGGTATACTTTACAGAATGATCCTGATAACACTTTCGGGGGGAAATTAATAAGTACAGTAAAGCAAACCAAAAAATATTATGAAAAGGAAATGTTCTTGTATTTTAGAGGATGTCAATGAAGAGTTGACTAAGATCGACAGAGAACCTGTTTTGCATGCATATAGGATTACCAACTGCCTGGAGAAAAAACATTCAGTCCCTGAGCAGCTTAATGTGATGTTATTTACCAGGTGATGTTATTTACCTCCATGACATGAAAAGCTTCAACTGCGCATTTCCGTACATTAAGGGTTTATTAAAGGGACAGCACAATTTTCTCCAGGCCTGTTGGTTATCATGCATTCACAAAGCCCCAGATTCAATCCCAGGTATCTCCAATTAAAGAATCAGACCTCTCTCTGTCTGAACCCAGGAATATACCTGTAGGTCAGAATACTGAACTAGCTTGGCCAATTGTCTTACTTGATATAAGGCAGCTTTGTGTGTTCTTATTTAACAGGGTAGTTCTCCAATTGGGAAGCACCTTCTCCCAGCCCCCAAAACAGAATCTAAGCATCCTGACTCTGCCAATCTACCATATATTTAAGTTACAAACATTTGCTAAACTCTGGAGCAGGGTTTTCTTTTTTCTTGCCTCTTTTACCCTACATGTAGAATTGCAGTTTAGGGTAAAGCCTTCTGAGGTGTTTAAAATGCGAGGAAGAAACCAGAAAAGGGGAAAGATCTGTGACTAGAATCTGCTGGGTGTTTTTAAAAAAGATAAGTAGCATAGCTGGTTGTATGCTTTGAAGATTGGGGAAGGGTTTTGGGGGGAAAGTATTTTAACACTGTCCTCTGCTGCCTCTTTCACAAATTAAAGTGGCCCTACATAGGGGCAATTAGTTCCACGGGGAAAAGACAGATCCAAATGCTTGGGCCTTCCACACACAGAACAAATTGAAGCTTCAGAGGGCCCTGTAAATAATGTGGACCAAATGCAGGATTAAATGATCAAAGATATCATGTGTTGTCAGAGTTTTGCTGGGCTACTACAGGTTGAAATATGCATCATTTTCATACATATTGAAATACACCCCTTAGAAGGGGTGATTTCGTAGAAAAAGAGGTGCAGGAGCTCATTTGCATAACTCATTTGCATATACCACATCCCCTGACACAGGGCAGGCATGTTTAGAATGCTTTTCTCTCCCTTCCCCATATAGGGAAGGAAAAGAAAGGCATTTAAATCCCCCCCTTCCCTGAGTTTCTCTGCAAAAGCGGGCTGGCTGAAGGAGGAGAGGGGAGGGGAGGGAGGCAGTCATGCCTGGGTTCCTTCCCCGATGTTCTCCAGGTGGAGAACATTGGGCAGGGAACCCAGGCATTTAAATCCCCTCCTTCCCCTGAGTCTCTCTACAGAAGCGGAGAGGCTCAAGGGAAAGGGGGAGCATGTCTGCCCACCTCCCCTCCCCTTCTCCAGCTAGCCCACCATGGTGGGCTGGCTGGAGGAGGGGAGGGCAGGGAGGCAGTCATGCCTGTGTCCCCTGCCCGATGTTCTCCAGGTGCCCCGCGGCAGGGAGGCAGACATGCCTGGGTTCCCTCCCTGATGTTCTCCAGGTGCCCCGCAGCATCGGGCAGGGAACACAGGCATTTAAATCCACCCCCTTCCCCTGAGTCTCTCCGCAGAAGAGGAGAGGCTCAGGGGAAAGGCGGCAAGGGTTTCTGAAGGGCTTTCCCTGGCCCGTCGGCCTGCGCAGGTGGGCCAGAAATGGGGGGGGAACCCCTGGATCCTTTCTGCCGGAGCGCCACTCTGCCACGCTCCAGCAGAAAACGACCCCTGCCACTTAGAGTGACTTTAGAGGCCAGTATGGACTTACTGTGTGTTTTATTTTCTTACTGGATTTTCTATGCTCCATGTCATTTATGGTGTATTTGTGGTGGATCCCAGGGCTATTTTTGGGCAGGAA